TGGCATCAAAATACTCATGTATGTATTATACTAAATTGAGATCAAATTATTGAAAACAAAAAAGAATAAAAATAAAAAATAAAATGAATAAGAATAAATTAATTAAATTGGTATGGAGAAAAATAATTTATATAATCCGTCCTATATTTGATGCGACAATGCTACGTAGTTCAAATTTTGTGGCTCAAAAGTGGCTCAAATGGTCAAAACGACGTCGTTTTGAGTACAGAACAACATAAAAATGGCTAAAACGACGTCGTCTTTGACCATTTGAACCATTTTTGAACCACAAAATTTGAGTTACGAGACATTTTTCTATTTGATGGGTGTTAAAACTTTGATTTGATTTAGTTTAATTAATATGAGGAGGATTGTGATACAAATGCGACATCTACCTGTCCTTCACATGCACAGAATCTGCACATAGTGAGATAAAGATATGGTCCTTACTTTTGGGGTAGAGAGAGAAGAAATGAACTCTCTTGCCTTTCACACAATTTCCTCTAAAAATGTAACTTTAGAGCATTTTCAATCCAATCCTCGTATTATAATGATAAAAATAATTTTTTTTTTATTTAAAAAATAAATATAGAGTATGTTATTATTTATTCAAACTTCAATCACAAACTTTTAAAACCCTTCATCCCCCCTTCGTCAAAAAAGTAATTTTTATTCATTAACAAAAATTTTACAAAATATATTTAATATTATACTCATTTTAAAAGTATGATTTCACATTTTTTAATGATGTCAATTTTATAAAAATTAAAGTTACATATTAAAAGTTATTTGTAATATAGTAAAAAATATGGAATAAATAGTATTTTAGAGTGTATCCTCTATTTTTCATCCTCCCTTCATATTTGGAGAATCAACTCATCCTCCTCCCCAATAGAGATGGATTTAGAGGATAGATTGAAGGAACAAATCCTTCATATTTGAAGTTATGAAAGATGCATTAGAGATGCTCTTATATGGCTGACAAAACAAAAAAATAAAAATCACAAATTAGTCATATTCAAATTGAATCGTATTTGATTTTATTTTCCAACACATAGTCCAGTTCTAATTTTTAAAATAAACAAATTGTTATGTGATTTTGTAGTTACGAATCTGGTTGGAATTAATTAGACTATTTAGATTTATATATAGGCTAGTGATTAGACACGTGCATTGTATGTAGCACGTAATTTTTTTATTAACTGTTAGTACTATAATTATATGTATCTTTTAAATTAGTATGTGATATATATAAATTATGGAGACTTGTATGGGTAAATTGATTAGTATCCAAAATATAACTAAGCAATAAATGAATACTTACTCGATCGAAAATTTTAAATGATAAATGAGAAAATTTATAAGCATAAACATTAATTTATAGCTAGATTGTTGAGATCACAATCTTACCTTACATAATAAACAATAAACAGGTCCTTTAAATATATAGTATTACACAAAAAAATTTCTATCAATTTCTCACTTCAATTTTTCATAATTCGCACATGTAATACAATTGAAGTTATGAAATTAATTAGACAATTACACATTTTTGTTTAATAGTTCATTTCATTGAACTCACTATTACATATTATTTGCATATTATTGGTGTAAAAATTCACTAATATTAATATGTAATATATTTTTATTTTTATACATTAAGAGTTATTGAGTCTCGTTTCATGTGCCACGAATATCTTGCATGATGAAAAATATAATATTAGTCATTACTATATTTTCATTTATGTCAAAAATGTGAAATAATTTTTTTAAGAAAATGAAATAATATTGTAACTTAATATTTTGATCGATATATGAATTTCATAATTATTTTCACGGTATTTATAAATTCATACTTATAAGTGTTTGCAAGGTCACTTTCATAAAACTGTACAAGTTACATAGTTTATTATGACACTTACAAGTAATCAGTATATAACAAAAATTGATTGAAATTTTTTATTTGATATACTTACTTTCTGTATCATTAAATTGCTATGATAATGTTTGGGTATCATTTGATTTTTTTTTTTCTTATAATTTGACTAAAATGTTTGCATGATGTACATTATTTTTCTTGAACTTCACAACAGATAAGATAATTCATGTTTCAACTCGTCTACCTTTACATAGAGAGTATGTTGTAATAGATTTTCTGTAGTTTTTGTTTCACCATATTCTTGTTTCTATTCTTACTCACCATTATTACTCATTATAATAAAAATATTTTGATGAGTAACAATTTGAGGTGATATGATATTGTTATAAATTTCAAAATTTATTTTCCCTCAATAATGTGATTTTTTCTGTGAGGGGAAAAAATTACAATTATTGTCGTAATAGAGGTGTTTTGCAAGTCTTGGTTTGTTATTGAAAGTGTTTGTTGTGAACACCTGTTTGTAAGACATATATATATATTGAACATAAGTTGATAAGAAAACAATACACAATTCTGCTATTTTTTTGTTACAAATATAATTATATTACTAAAGTGATACATGTTAGAAAATTAAAGTATCCAATGATAATATAATATTACAGATTGATAATGTATGAATACAGTAACATATATAAATTTACATTGATATTTTATATGTATATGTATTTATATATTTATATATAGACATTGACATATATAAGATATCACAAAAATAATATGTGAAATATTTTGTAACAATATGATACAACTAACAATGAGAAATTAATTATTTAAAATTAAATAGTTGGTCATAATGTAGATATTTAGTGTTATATTTTTGTATATATGCACTATTTTGTAATTAGATAATTAAATTCAAATAAAAATTGAAAAAAATTTGTGTAAAACTAGAGATTAGTGAAAAAAGATTTTAAAAAAGATAAATTCACAGTATTTGGTTTGATTTGTTTTTTCAAACTTTTGTTTTAAATATTTTGGTTTTCATGTCTTTTTATGTTTGACACTGTTTTTTAATAACTCTTTTATTTTGTCTTTAGATTCACTTAATTTAATACTTTTTATTTTTTAATTTTACTTTTAGATTTAGATTCATGTAATTTAAATACACTTAGAAAATAATTTGTTTTGTATTCTTCTTGGAAAAAAAATTATTAATAAATAATAATAATAATAATAAAATATACATAATAATAAAAAAATCAGTGCATGTTTGAATTTATAAAAAAATTTACCAATATTTTACTTTTTAATTCTATTTACATTATTACATATTAGATTTTCTTGTAAAAGTATAATTTAAATATAAAATATAAACAATTTCTAGTACTTTTAATCACCAAAACTGAGAAAATATAAAATAAAAAAAAACAAAAATTTAAAATGTAAAACCAACAAAAGTGGTTATTATTTGGAATTTTGACATCATACATTAGTTATTAAGGTAATCATGTAAAATATTACAGTTCATAAAATATAATTTAAATAAAAAGAAAACATATGAAGATAATTTGCGAATTTTTGAGATGCAGCACAAATCTCTATTTTAAAAAACGATGCCCTTTCCTCTATCTAAATTCGAACGAATGCATACAACTTTAAAATTCAACCAAAATTATTCACAGTGATTTGATCCATGATGCATAATTATAAATATTATATATATCAATATAGAAATAGACATAGAAAGTAAGAAAAAGTAATTATTTTTTGTTATTTAATCATTATCAATATAAAAAATAAAGAGACGGACTTTTTTTTTACATATAAGAAAGAAGACTGTTTACTGATATTTACATAAAACTCTTTGAAACAAATATATCCTTTTTAAGTGTTCAACATCAAAAATAAAGATATGATTTATATAAGGGAAAATTTACCCATAAGTCCTAGTTTCTGAAAAGTTAAATCATTTAGTCCTAAAAGTTTTTTTATGCTCCATTTAGTCCCATTTGCACATCAATCTAATGTTCAAAATCTAATGTTCGAAACATTAATCTGATGTTCGAAATCTAATGTTCGAAACATTAATCTGATGTTTGAAACATTGTAATGATGTTCGAAATCTAATGTTCGAAACATTAATCTGATGTTTGAAACATTGTAATGGAACCTTTCAGTCTATAAGAAAACTTTTAGGACTAAGCAGTGTATAAGTTATTAATTTGGGATTTATTGATACATCTCCTTATATAAGACTCTTGCTTTACTTTTAAAATATATAGTATATTTGAAAGGGTAAAATTGAAATTAAAAAAAAAAAAAAGAAGAAAACAAAAAAAAAAAATTCTTTACACTTTTATAATAGTAATAGAGATATTACCTGCAATAAACACTGTAATATCTTAATAGTGCAATATATATAAGTTGTACCTCTACACTTGAAAGAGCATTCTGATATAATGGTAACACTAATTCAAAACAATCATTTAAGTAATTTTTATATTCTGAATAATATTTTGTAATTATATTGGGCATGGAAACAAATTTTTAAAAGTCAGTTCTAAATTGAACCGAACCGTAATTTATTGATTCGGTCTAATTTGATTCCAAAGTCGTCATGAATTGATTAAAGTCTTCATGAATTGATTTAGTTCATGAAACCGCAAATAGTGTTATATCTTTGATTTACTTCTTTATCTCGTGATCTCTCTCTGGCAACAATTAGGAATTCACAGGGTTGATCTCTCTTCGAAGACCATTAAGAATTCAGCGGGGTGGCGGCAACGACTAGGGTAGCGTGGGAGAAATTGGGAAGGGGGGTTGCAACATGAAGAGAGAGAAAAGCGGGACTGGGGAGGGGATAGAAAAAGGAGGGGCTGGCAATGGGTTGCAGTGGTAGAAGGTGGTCGCTAATGGAAGAGAGGGCCAGCAGGGGGAAGGGAGCTATAGGAGGGTCGCAGGAGGTACAGGTGGAAGCTACCGCAGGAATGTTGAATGGGTTGGGAATTATGGTGGGGTCGAAATGAAAGGAAGGCGAGGAGTAAATCTGGTGGTGGGAATTCAAAGAGGTGGGAGTCCTGAAAAGAAAGGGTGGAGACATTTGCCAGCACGCTTTTCAGAGTTCATCAAATTAGTAACATGACTGAGATTACTAAACCCAGTAACATGACTCAGATTACTCAGCCAATCTCCCTACCTTCTTCACATATTTGCAAATGAATAATAAATCAAATACATCAACAACAATAAATGCAGACAAAAAAATTGTTCCTATCAACAATCAATACCCCCTTACACATCCAAGCCATCTGATAATATCAAATGGTCAGGATCCTCAGGCACTGCAATCAGATGTTGGGGCGGTCAAGTTCATACAAGCACTATGAAAACTAGCCCCCCTTTTTCCACATCTTGACAAGAAAGAGAATTCTCTCCTCTGCTCTATTATGGGCACGGGTGAGGGTATTTACAGTTGCGCTACGCGTACAAAAACCATTCAGACAAGACACAAGAGGGTGGGACCCACAAGACGCACCTTATGTCTTGTCTGTGAACCATTCTGTGAATGGTCCTCTGTGCAAATATTTTTATTCAGGTATTTATCCACGCAAATCTGCGATGGAGTGTACCTTCTTTCCCCTTCCACTTGGAAACACCCAATCTTGGCACATCTTAGCGATGACTTTCCATGAGATCGGCAAGAGTAATCTTCCCAAAATTGCCAGTGTCAAGCCGATCAAACTTTTTGCATATCAGCATAATGTCTTTTTCTGAAACCTTTCCCATCTCCTTAAGCTTGTATATAACATATTCCGATTTACTGCAAATATTTTGAATAAAACTCAGCAATGCTTCAATTGTATAACTAAACCAAACAAGGGTAAATAAATTAGCATGGGAACCAGCAGAACAGGAACAAGTTTGGACAGAGCAAAAAGATAATAACATGCCGAAAGTTTTATGAGCCAACCACAAACATGGAATGAATAGGTTCACATCTACTTTTCCACCAAGACAATCCGGGAAGTTTGCAGACAGAATTTCTGTACAAAAAAGTCACAACAGAGTGATGTTTTGATGGCAGTTTTACAAAATAACTAGTCATTGTCATAGTTCTTTTGATTTGAAATGAATGAACATCAGTTTGACACATCATACTCTCAAAAGCCTCAATCTTCAACCAAGCATTGGAGAAAAATCAGCTACTACCATCTACAAATATAACTTCCTACATTTCAAGCTAATTTATTTTCCAGCAATTTAATGACTTTCATGACATAAGCCACTCAATAATCACGAGATACAATCTTAAGTAAAAGAAAACATTACTATACACACAAAAACATGTGCACAGAAAAGAAAGAAAAACAGATCCCAGAAACAATACTGAATTGCAAAGTACTGATGCACTCTTCCGTATTAGCATGCAAATCAACCAAAGAACAGGCCGGAACATGTACAAGCAGAGCAGATTAAATACTTGCAGAATGTCAAGAAATACCAAAACAACATTCTCCAAAAGGTTCATAAGGTTTCTGAATATTGCCATTCATACAATCTGCAACCACTAATCATCATCATGGAAAAAACTAAAGCCAGTTCAGTGATGCCTTTTTCACGGAAAAAAATTATTAATATATCTTATAGAAATGTGATGATTTTTATTTCATCCAACATCTTTCACAGTCCACTCATAATCATTGTCCTCATTGTCATAGCAATAATCTTAAAATAATAATAGTTACAACATATTCAAACAACTCCACCGCAACGCACGTACTACAATTTTTTTTTCAATCTTTAACATGAAGATTGATGTCCTTTGACTTTATAGTAGACTTAATTTTTTCAAGAAAAAAATAACTAAATAAAGGACAAAATTGGATAAAATAGTGGCAGAAGGAGGAAGAAGATTCAAATCTAGTGGGTGTAAAAACTTATTTTATTTTATCGAAGACGAAGAGAAAGGAAAATATCACAATTGAACTACTATCTTAACCATTTAGATGCATTTCAGGGTAAAAATTGTAATCATTCCAACTATTCTTTGGAAAAAAATAAAAAACTAAATAAATAATCAGCAAGCACAAGTTTATAATCCAACAAAAAAATTTAATCCCCAGCAATTATACCCTATAGTAAAGTCTTTTGCATCCAAAAGTACAATGCCTCAAATTCAGTTTTGGAAAAAGTCTTAGTAGATTGCATTTATCTGCAACAAAGAATCATGACAACACTGAACAGAACCAAGTCTCAAGATATTCCCCCTTGGATCTACAACAAGCAGGAAAATAACAGCTACCATCATACATATTTACATGTGGTTTGTAAATTGAGAGGGTTAACCTTGAGTATTAAGATAGAATTGTAGGAAGTCACAAGAATTGGCATGACAAAAGTCTCCATATATATATGCACGGTGTATATATATGTATGTGCGTGCGTCATTTGAAGTGATAAAATGAACAGTGAAGATCATGCCAACAAGTAGAGAAAGTTCAGAAAATTCAAAAATAATCTTAATGAAATCAGGAAGTTTTAAAGTTATAAACAACTTGAAATGCCAGGGAAACCTTTTATGTATGTATTTTTTTCAACTCAAAATCAATCCCCTGTGCTGTTACAAAGTGTTATGTGTTCTATGTTTTGTTTAATTGATTATTTAGCCTGAAGGCAGGAGGGCTTGCAGAGATGGGAGGGGTTTGCAACAGTGGGTAGTTCACGGTGGTGGAGTTCCCTGCAGTGTCAGTGGCTACAGGTGATGATAGTGGCTGGTGGTGTACAAGATGTGTATTGAGAAACCACGTTTTAGGATTTTGTCCAAAAAGGTAAATTTGATTGTATTCTTAAAAAATGTACTAGGTGTGTAAACTAAGGATTTATGGTATGTGGAAATAGAAGCTCTTAGGTGGTTTCAAAGCTTTTTGTTGTTGGATCAGGGATTATGATATTCAAGCTTCCTGATAATATGGCTCAAATAATTTAAGAAGATAAACAGACTGCATAGATGTACAATAGGTGATTTCAAAGCTTTCTATTGTTGAATCAGGGGTCATGATATTCAAGCTTCCTCATAATATGGCTCAAATAATTTAAGATAAACAGACTGCATAGATGTACAACATATGCTTGCACCTCGCACTTAGGGTATAAAAGACCTTATTGCCTCGGTGTGCCTAGCACCTTTTAAAACACTGGTCAATCCTATGAACTTTCGAAAAAGCATGGAGCCAGAACAGAGTGCAATGAGCACGTTTGAGAAATCTTCAGAAGAAGATCACTTGATCAGAAGCACAAAGAAAATCAAAAGCAATGCCACAATGGAAGAAAAAGAAATGGAAGTGGAAACTGAGATGAAAGAAGCCCAGCCCTGTTGAAGGTCCACCAGTAAAATCGTTTAAAGACCCTCTAGCATTCCCAAAGAACATGGATTACTACTTTGATAATAGGGTGGAAATCTTATTATCAGATGAAGAAGAAGATGAAAAGAGACAGAACCACCACAGAGGAAGGAAAGCCTAGGTTTGCAGGACTACCGGAAGTGTCAAGAAAACTTCTGCAGAGGATCAGGAAACCTTGGGAGAATGCATTGATTGTCAAACTATTGGGTAAAAGCATAGGCTATAGAATGCTCTGTTCTAGGCTACAGAATATCTGACGGCTGCAGGGCAAATTCAATGCCATTGATTTGGGGAGTAATTTCTATCTGATCAAATTCTCAGAGCATGAAGACTGTATGAAGGTTTACACCAGAGGACACTGGGTGATTATGGACCATTATCTTACAATTCAAAAATGGAACCCAAATTCAAAGCGTCGAAAGCCTTTGAAACCACGACTGCTGTATGGGTCTGTTTTCCAGAGCTTTTGATAAAGTATTATCAAGATAAAGTCCTCTTTGCCACAGCTAAATCCAAAGGTAAACCTCTCAAAATTGATATGACAACTGAAATGGCAACTCGAAGAAGGTTCGTACAAGTTTGTATCGAAATTGATCTCAGGTAACCACTATGCCCGAAGTTCGTATTAGAAGATAAATGTTAACAGTATAAAGTACGAATCTCTTCACTCTTTTTGCTTCTACTGTGGAAAGATTGGTCACAGGAAAGAGGCTTGCAGATTCAAAGAAGCCAGCAAGATGACTCCGGCAGAAAAACAACTAGTTGTTACCAGCGGAGACATCACCACAGCTGCTACGTCAGAAACCGACTGTAACCTGCAACAAGGTACATCAGATAAAGAAGAGTTTGGGCCATAGATGTTAGTCACAAAAAGAAATCGCTGGCCAATTCAAATAATGAAAGCCCAAGACACAGTAGTACCCCAGATTAAGCCCAACAAATTCAAATATTTAGAAGAAGGGCAACAAACAAGAGGGAGGAAGAATACGAAATTGGGCCAGGAAAAGGCCCAAAAGGTAAAGCCACAGTTGGCCAAGAACAGTCCACGCCCAAAGAAAGTGTAGGATCCTCAAGAAGGAAACCAATTGCAGAAACAAATAGCACAAACTCATCATACCAAATTAGAGTTGGAAAGAACAATCTACCAGATAAGATACAGAAGGAATCTTCAAAGAAACCAATGGCTGTGAGACACGCCTAAAGCCAACTGACAAGAGACTTTGGTAATTGACATCCAGCAGACGGAAATAATTATGATTGACTGCCCTACCTCTCAACCACAAAGGGAGAGCGAAAGAGAAAACCCAAGAACTCTTTCCACAGCTATCTCATCTACCCCACTTGAAAAAGACAGAGAGCCATCAAATCCAGTTGAAGACAATGAAGGAAGAAGAAGATAAGAAAAATCAATGTGAACGAAGATCTGATGCAGAACAGCCCAATGGGGCTGCTCTTAGAACCAGGGAAAGAAGCAATTCACCTCATCGGCTTCGTATGGTGGATAGAACAAATCTGTCTAAGACTAGAGCCAAAATGGGAGAATACTCAAGATCATCAAGGGATCCGTAGTTTTTAACAGATCTAGGTAACAACCCCCGACCCCCAATACATCTATGGAATGTTTAAGACTTCTGTTCTGGAATCACGGCCGAGCCGGTAACAATACTTTTAAGAGAAACCTGATGGAGATCATACATGCACATAAACCTGAGTTTTGGTTCTTATGGAAACAAAAGTGACTTTTAGTTCAATGGGAAGTTTCTTCAACAGACTAGGTTTTACAGCTTCTTCTATTGTAGATCCAGTGGGAAGGGTTGGAGGAATTTAGTTAATCTGGAACACAAATCAAGCCAATGTGAAGGCCTCGGAAGTAAACTCTCAGGTGATCCATCCTACAGTACATAAGGAAGATTACAAGGAATGGGTTATGGCAGCATTCTATGTTAGTCCAAACCCCACAATCAAGAAAAATCTGTGGGAAAACTTGGAAGAAGTAGCAGATAACATGAAAAGGCCATGGCTTGTGGCTGGTGACTTCAATGACTATGCAAACCAAGGTGAAAGGTGAAGCTTCTCTACCAATCAGACTAACACACGGACTCAAAGATTCATGGAAAGAGTTAACAAATGCAACATGATTGACTTGGGAAGCTGTGACGACCCCAACATGCATATCCTTATTGCCTATTATATTATTATGTGAATTTGCATGTTTATGTGTTTAATTTTGCTTGTATCTGTTTAGAAAAAGAAATTGACAAGTTCAATAGGCTAATTAGAATATTTAGAACCATTTGGAAAGTTTAATTAAAATTTGATTCAGATTAAATTAATTAGGAATAATCATTAGAGTTGAGTAGGATCTATTAGACTTAAGCTAGTTTAATTAGTCTTAAGCTCAATTAATTAATCTAAACTA